TTGAGGGTATCTTTCCTTCTACAGAAATAGCTTGAAGCCTGTGTCCCAGGGGTAGCCCATGCAACAGAGCTCTGTCACTGTCACCCCTGAAGGCTGGGCATGGTGCTGATGGTCTCTTGTAAATGGGGTCAGTCTCCTCTCTGACATTCTGACCCTATGACCCCAGCAGTCCTCAGCCTGAGAGTCAGGAGCTCCCTTCAGCTGCCTCTCCCTGTATCTTACCAGCCTCACACCCTGAACACCACCTCACTCATCTGCTCACCCTCTGTTTTGGATGGTCTCCGTTGGCCCTCTGGATCTACTTCCAGCCCTTCCCCGCCCTGCTCTGTGCCCGGGAGGCCAACCTGTGTGGACTGGATCAACAGCCGCTCCCTGCTCTAAGTCTTCCAGTGGGATTCCACCAATGGGAGGTGAAGGCAGGAGAGCAGAGGGTGGGGAGAGAGTGAGGTTGCCCAGGCTGACCATGTCCGTCCACTGAGGGCCCCTGCTCCTGTAGACAAGCTCCCTTGGGGTTCCAGGAACCACCCCCACCCCTTACCTCCTCAGGCCTGGAGTAGTCCCACTGTCCCCAGCCCCTGTGATTCACCAGCCCACGTTGGTTTCCCTGAACCCCCACTCCTTTATAATTAGCCCTGTATTATATCTCCCAACTCTGCAGGACCTGGACTGGCCTGCTTACTCCAGCCACTTCCATGCCTTTGCTTTCACCACCATCTTTTTTTTTTACAAATTTACTTATCTATTTATTTATCTATCTATTTATTTATTTAGGCTGCATTGGGTCTTCGTTGCTGTGTGCGGGCTTTCTCTAGTTGCAGCGAGCAGGGGCTACCTCTTCACTGCGGTGCGCAGGCTTCGCATTGCAGTGGCTTCTCTTGTTGCGGAGCACAGGTTCTAGGCACACGGGCTTCAGTAGTTGTGGCACGTGGGCTCAGTAGTTGTGGCTTGCGGGCTCTAGAGCGCAAGCTCAGTAGTTGTGGCACACGGGCTTAGTTGCTCCGCGGCATGTGGGAATCTTCCCGGACCAGGGCTCAAACCCACGTCCCCTGAATTGGCAGGTGGATTCTTAACCACTGCGCCACCAGGGAAGCCCTCACCACCATCTTTGATGCTGGGTCCTTGTGTATGGCCCCCGGCTTCACTGAAACCCAGATCGACTCAGCTCCTCCAAGTGGACACTGCCACTGCACTGGGGTCCAGCACCCTGATTCCAACACATGAGGCCAATCCTGCTCCTCTATAGGATGAGGAGGGTGAACCAGCTGAGCCCTGAAGTTCCTTCCAACCCACATTCTCCTCTGCTCCACATCATGCATCCCTTAGCCAGATGGCTGGTGTTAAGGTTCAAATTCCACTGAAAAATCCAAATGACATTCTGGCTGTAATTTTCTCTCCTCTGAACTCCCATTCTATTCTCATCAATACCTCTCATCACAACCTCTGTTAGCATCATTCACGCATGGGAATCTCCCCTTCTAGGCTGCAAACTCCCTAGTTCCATCTTGCGCTTTTGGTGAAACACTTTTCTTTTGGCCTATCTCCCTCTTCCCCCCGCCCCATCTCAAGAATGCTTACTGTTGTAAATATTGACTGAAATGGGGGAGGGACCAGTAAGGCCCGAACACTCTGGATGATGTTGTACAATGATATTTACCAGACAATGACTACACAGCATGTATGTTATATCCATCATCTTGCTTTGCCCTCACCACAGGCCTACAACGTAGGTGTTACCCCCGTATTACATATGTGGAAACAGAGGTTAAAAGCAACTTGTTCCAGGGGACTTCCCCAGTGGTCCAGTGGTAAAGAATCCACCTTCCAATGCAGAGGACGTAGGTTCGAGCCCTGGTCTGGGAAGGAAGATCCCACATGCCCTGGGGCAACTAAGCCCACGCACCACAACTACTGAGCTCGCGCACCTCAACGAGAGAGCCCACGTGCCGCAAACTACAGAGCCCACTTGCTCTGGAGCCCACACGCCACAGCGAGGAACCCACACACTGCAACAAAAGATCCTGCATGTCTCAATGAAGATCCCACGTGCCACAACTAAGACGCTATGCAGCCAAAAAATAAAGAAATAAAGAAAAATAAATAAATAAACACTGTGATTAAAAAAAAAAGGGACTCCCCTGGTGGCTCAGTGGTTAAGAATCTGCCTGCCAATGCAGGGGACACGTGTTCGAGCCCTGGTCCAGGAAGATCCCACATGATATGGAGCAACTAAGCCCACGCACCACAACTACTGAGCCCGCATGCCACAACTACTGAAGCCCACGTGTCTAGAGCCCATGCTCCACAGCAAGAGAAGCCACGGCAATGAGAAGCCCACACACCGCAACAAAGAGCAGCCCCCGCTCACCGCAACTAGAGAAAGCCTGTGCGCAGCAGTGAAGACCCAACACAGTCAAAAATTAATTAATTAATGGGAAAAAAATAAATTAATTTAAAAAAAAGTAACTTGTTCCAGAAAGGGTTGGAGCCAGAAGTGAAAGCGCAGGTGTATCTGATTCCAAGGCCTGTCACCGTTCCTCTGCTCCACCCTGCAGTGTGTGTGATAACAAGATGCAACATGGGGATTCCCCTGGCAGTCCAGTGGTTAAGACTCTGCACTTCCACTGCAGTGGGCATGGGTTCAATCTCTGGTTGGGGAACTGAGATCTCGCATGCCGCAAGGCGCAGCCAAAAAAAAAAAAAAAAAAAAGATGCAACATGGGCCCTGACCCAAATGAGACAAGTCTCATTACAGGATGTAATTAAGGGTTCATGGAGCAGAACCCTTCTGAAGAGGCCCTTCCAGACTTTCCTGAATGAATCACCGAGACATTAGGACATTACTGTTCTCTATGAAGCTCGGCCAAAAGGTCTCAAAAGTAGTTAGTTCCTTTAAGCTAAACATTTCCCCAGCAATCTGGTTTACGCTTTAATTGGCTTAGAGTATTGGAGAGGAAGAAAAAGTCAACTTTAGCCCAGCCCCTGCGGAAATATTTCCCATACATTTTATGGATAAAATTCATTCCCTTTGGCCACTTGCTTCTGCCAAGCTTGAGGGAGGGCAGATCAGGGAGCAGGGCAGGTGATGCTCCAGTCAGTCCACCAACGAGGGAGGGGAGGTTCGTTTCTGAAGTCTGAATTACTGAAGCTTTACTGGCTGCTCTCATTCGCATCAAGTCACCTGGGACCACCGCCCCTGTGGGCTCTTGGCTTTGGTCATCTCATGCACCACTCCTCTTCCTTCCCTTTCCGCAGGCTCTGGGGTCTGGACCTGTGTCCTTCTGCTCTTTGGAGCTGTCTCTGTTCCATTAGTCATTGGTACCTCCCTCTCTCAGTGGAGACACCAAGCTGAGTCTCTATCCGGAGCCCCTGGGCCTCCCTCCCAGGTCTGGGTAGAGAAGGGCATGGGTAGGGCTGCCAAGGTCAAATTCCCTCTCGTCCCATCCTTGGGCCTCTTCTGATCACCAGAAGGAGTGAGCACAGCTATGAAGGTCACGGGAAACTCCCTTCAGTTCTGAGTCCAGTAAATTCACTCCCACCTCCTCAACCCTGGAAGAAAACATTCTTCACCTCCCAGACTTTGACCTCATCCTTGCTTGGCCAGATCCTCTTCTCTAAGAGTAAGGAGGTCTGCTCCTTCTTTGTTCAGACAGGAGCCAGGGGCTGCAAGGACCCTCCCCCTTGACCAGTTCCCCCTTTTATTCTCTGCACCTGAAAACCAGCTGGCACAGAAGGTCTAAGGGAAGAAGGAAGCAGAGATGGGAACGAGACAACAGCTGCCACATCCTTGCCAGCCTCTGTCACCTGGCTCCTTTTCCTAATCCAGTCATTCCTTCAACAGCCATTTATTAACACCTACTGTGTGCTGGGCATCTTTCCAGGTGCTCAAAATGTAAGAGTTAATGACAGATGAAAATCCTTCCCCTAATGGAGCTGACACATGACAAACAAGATAAATAAGTAAACCAGAGTATCGTTTATGGCTTATGGTGAAAAGCGATAAGGAGGCAAAATTAAGCAGGAAAGGGTGGAGAGGCTGAAATGTTAGATGGGGTAGCCAAGGGAAGGCCTTGATAGGGTGATGTCTGAGTCAAGATCTGAGGGAACTGTGGAGGGGCCACGTGAACATCTGGGGAAAGAGCATTCCAGGAAGAAGGAACAGCAAGTACAAAGGTCCTGAGGCAGGAAGAGGCAGGTGTGGCTGGAGTGGAGTGATGGAGGGGATGAGCAGTAGGGAATGGGTCAGTCAGGTAAAGGAAGTCAGATCCTTTAGGGCCTGTTGGGTCACCACAGAGACTTTAGTTTTGCAAGATGGGAGCTACCGGATGGTTCTGAACAGAGGAGGGACAGAATTTGACTTGGGTTTTAATAGGATTCCTCTGGCTTTTGGGTGGGGAATAGACTGAAGGTATCTAGCAGCCACCCACTAAAAGTGTCTGTGATTCTTAAGAGTGAGCACTTCAAGTCTGCCCTCTCCTTAAACACCCTATCACAAGGGGCAAAAGGCCTCTGGTGGGGACAATGGAATTGAGACAAGGCTGGAAAAGCGGGCCATCCTGAGTTATGGCAGAGCTTGGAAGTCAGACTAAGCAGCTGAGACTTGATTCAAAGACGAGGGGAGTCACCAAAGGTTTCTGAGCAGGAGAATCACCTAACTAAAGCCACACTCACTCACATTAGTCAAAAACCACGGGAAGGTTGCTCTGGCTGAGACATGGTGCTAGATGCTGTGCCCATGTCTCTGGTCATGATCTTGGTGGGCCTGGACTCCCTGTCTCCCCCCTCAGACTGGGGCTCCCTGAGGACAGGAACTTTCTCTCCATCTTTAGTCTCTTCTTGCATCAGCAAGGACAAGACTCTGCACGCCTTACTATCCTTCCCGGGGGTTTAGATGCTGAAGTTGGAAACACATCAGGTGGGATGACTGCAGAGTTAGATGAACAGACAGACAGACAATCAGGAACAGGCTGATGTTTCCACGGTGGGAGAGGGGCTGTACCTACCTCCCGCCACTGCTTGTTCTCCATCCCTTGAGTATACATGACGCATACTGTGAGGAGAGGAGAGAAAAAAGGGTTAACACCCCAGGCCAAGAGGAAGGTGTGGGCCCCAGATGCGGAGGGCCCTGGAGGGTCAGGCGCCTCAGGACACTATGGCCTGGGTAGCAGTGTTGGGTCTGGGTGGTGTCAGCTTGGAGGAGGGGGCCCAGAACATAGGTGTGTCTGGGAGGGGCACCCTTTGGGAGGAGGGTCGGGGTCACTCACATCTAGGCTAGAGCAAGTGTAAAGTGTGAGGCAGGTAGACAGGTGTGCATGACAGAGGACTGAGTGGCAGAGGTGTGGCAGGAGAGAGCATCTGAAACCTGCTTGTCCCTTTAGAGCCCAAGGTGGCCTCATGGGGCCTATTATTATCATCAGCCCCACTTCCCTGATGGGGAAACTGAGGATCAGAGGAGGCCAATGAGTCGTCTGAGGTCATATACTTGAGCAGCATTGCTTAGGGCTAGAACCCTGGGCTCCAAAATCAGTGCTCATCCCCCTAGGCCACAGATATTTGGGGCTCTTAAATGCACTGGTTTCACTGGGGCTGAGACCTTCTGAGCCCTCCCTACCCACTTGGTTGTGTTGAGGCTTCACAAGTACGGGGGCTGGGAAGGGTCAGACCTCCAAGTTTTCTTTCTCCAGACAGTATCTGTGAAACATTAGATAGCCTTGATGTACTGGGAACGATGCCTAGTACATAGTGAGCACTCAGTATAGGCTCCTGTGTTGGCTACTGTAGTAGTCATAATGCCGTTGTAGCAAAGGAAACTATAAACAAAACAAAAAGACAGCCTACATACAGACTGGGAGAAAAGATTTGCAAATGATGCGACCAACAGGGCTTAATTTCCAAATATACAAACAGCTCATACAGCTCAATAACAGAAAAAGCAAACAACCCAATCAAAAAATGGGCAGAAGACCTAAATAGACATTTCTCCAGAGAAGACATACAGATGGTCAATAGACCCATGAAAAGAGGCCCAACATCGCTAATTATTAGAGAAATGCAAATCAAAACTACAATGAGGTATCACCTCACACCAGTCAGAATGGCCATCATCAAAAAGTCTACAAAGAAGAAATGCTAGAGAGGGTGTGGAGGAAAGGGAATACTCCTACACTGTTGGTGGGAATGTAAATTGGTGCAGCCACTATGGAAAACAATACGGAGGTGCCTTAAAAAACTAAAAATAGGGCTTCCCTGGTGGCTCAGTGGTTGGGGGTCTGCCTGCCGATGCAGGGGATGCGGGTTCGTGCCCCGGTCCGGGAGGGTCCCGCATGCTGCGGAGCGGTTGGGCCCGTGAGCCATGTCTGCTGGGCCTGCGTGTCCGGAGCCTGTGCTCCGCGGCGGGAGAGGCCACGGCAGTGAGAAGCCCGCATACGGCAAAAAAAAACAAAACACAAAAAACTAAAAATAGAGCTACCATACGATCCAGCAATCCCACTCCTGGGCATACATCTGGAGAAAACTCTAATTTGAAAAGATACATGCACCCCAATGTTCACTGCAGCACTAGTTACAATAGCCAAGGCATGGAAGCAACCTAAATGTCCATGGACAGATGAATGGATAAAGACGATGTGGTACATATATACGGTGGAATATTAGCCACAAAAAGAATGAAATAATGCCATTTGCAGCAACATGGATGGATCTAGAGATTATCATACTAAGTGAAGTAAGTCAGACAGAGAAAGAGAACTATCGTATGATATCATTTATGTGTAGAATCTAAAAAGTGATACAAATGAACTTATTTACAAAGCAGAAATAGACTCACAGATATAGAAAACAAACTTATGGTTACCAAAGGGGAAAGGTAGGGGGGAGGGATAAATTAGAAGTTTGGAATTAATACTATATATAAAATAGTTAAACAACAAGGTCCTACTGTATAGCACAGGGAAGTATATTCAATATCTTGGAATAAACTATCATGGAAAAGAAAAAAATAAAACAATGTCGTTGCTGTTGTTGTTACTGTTATTACTGTCAGTGCAGGACTTACATGGGTCAGACTTGGAGAACATGTCTTTGTCCAAAAGGTTCCTGAAAGAGGGGGAGAGAGCAGGAGTTAGCACAGCCCAAGGATCTCAGGGGATTCAGGCTGTTACTGAGATCCGGAGGCTGCCTCGGGCCTGGCTTCAGGCAAATGCGAAGAAGGAGGCTCCTTCAGCACAGTTTATTAGGGTTCATTGGAGCTGGCTGGGCCCCAGAGGTTCCTCAGCTCAGCTCCTAGGGTGTGTGGTGCTTCCTGCTTCTCACCCCCGCCACCAACACACACTCCTGTGGACCCTGGTGCTCTGGATCCCACAGCCCCTTGCTCTTGGGCCGAAACACAATCTGCCCAATGTTGTAGAAATTGTTCTAGAAATTCTCCTTTTACCACTTCTCTGTCTCTGAAAAAATAAAGTGAAATCAAGCCACTAATGTACCATTCTCTCAGGGCTCTACTTACAGCCAGTTTATTCAATCATCTCACCTGTGCCAGTGGATTAATTAATGATACCTCCCAGGGGATGCAGACTCATTTGAACAGGGTCCTTTTGTGGTCAAGGCCAGAGCTAACACATGGTCCTAACAATTAGACTTGAACTCATGCAGCAAGATGACTGGGAACTCCCTGGTGGTCCAGTGGTTAGGGCTCTGCGCTCTTATTCCCAGGGTCCCAGGTTCAATCCCTGGTTGGGGAACTAAGATTTTGCAAGCCGCACAGCGTGGCCAAAAAAACAAACAAACAGAAAATGATGGACACAATGTTTGGAGGCAGAGAGCTCTCACAACAGGAGCGGAGCCCCTCCTTCCGTGCCTCTGTGCAATCATGGCTCCTACTCACTGAACCCCAGGCACTGCGCTAAGCGTTCTGCAAATATTAGCTCCCAATTCTCACTCTGTCCTGCAAGATCAGTACTGGGTAAGCATTATCCCATCTCACAGATGGGAGATCATAGGGAGATCAGGCAAGGGCGTGTCCTGCACATCTGGTGTCCCTCACTCCACAGTGACCCACTGCTGTCAGGAAGCAACATGGCTCAAAGAAAACTTGGTCTCTGGCTGGGAAGTGACTTAACCTCTCTGAGTCTGTTTCCTCATCTGTACAATAGAGAGAAGAGTGCCAGCTCTGAAGGTTGCTGATGCTCGGCCCTACCCCTTCAGCCCTCCTAGTTCCTGTACACACCCACAGTTTCCTCCTACTTCTCTTCCAAGGGCTTTCTCGGGGAGGCAGGGCTGCAAATACCAGGAAGTTTACACTCCCCACGGCAGCCCATGATGGGCAGGAGTTGGAGGATAAATGCCCGGCTTCCTGACTCCCCCTGGGACAGCTCTGAGCTGTGCTTCACACAGCCTCCCAGAGGTGCCCACCGGGAGACCCACTCATTGAAGACCCTTGTTGACTCGAGCAAGGGCTTTATTGCAGAAGGGGCTTCCTGTGAGCCCTCCCACCTGTTGGAGCTACTGACTCCTTCCTACACTGTCCTAAGGTCAAGCTCTGCCCTTGCCAACCATCTTACCCATGTCCCACTTGCCTCCCAGATGTCCCCGGGGGTCTTCTCGTCCCCGCCTCCACTCCCCTACTCCCCCACGGGCCCCGATGCCCCTTGCACCCTTTCCCCAGAGAGGAGAAACACTAGGCTATGTGGCTTCCTGCCAGCCAACTCCAAATATCAGAGCTGGATGGGTCCCTCAGGATCATCTGTTCCACCTTCTCCTTGAGGAGGGGGAAACTGAGGCCCAGGGAGGGGCAGGGAGTAGCCATGCTGCACAAGCAGTGGCAAAGCCAGAAAGGTCTAGAAGGAGACCTCACCCTAAGTCACCATCACTGAAGCCATCAGCAGTGACAGCCTGTCTGGACAACTTGACCCACAGTCAACCCCACCACCCATGCTCCCCACTCTGAGGTGGGAGCCAAAGACCAACCAACAGACAGATAGATGCAACAGCAGCCTGGTGCCAGGATACGGCATCCTCTGCTACCCGGGGAGGTCCCAGATGGTGCTCATCAATCATACCAGCTCTGGTCCCCGACCAGATTCCCATCCTCTGCTCCAGTCTCTTCATTCAGGGTCCTCTCCCCAGAGGCAGCTACCCTGCTAGCCCTCCATGACCCAAAGGCACAGGACCCTTCTGCTGGCCTCCATCACCCCTCTCCCAGACCTGCTCCCAGCGGCTGTCCCTTTGGAAACCTTCTGATAAACCTCCCAGCCCAATGCAGTGAGCATCAGATGAAATGATACACAGGCAGCTCTGAAAAGTAGGCAGCAGGAGCTACAGGTAAGATACCAATTTGATATATGCTCATCCACACCGAGATGGGCTGACCTGGACCTGGGCTGACCCTCCCCTCCTGTAGTGTGCTAGGATTCAGGGCAGGAGTGTCTGTCTTGATTTAAACAAAGGACAAAATGCCTAAATTCCAAAGATGCCTCTACAGTGGTGGAACTTGAGATGTGGTGAGGAGCTGGAAAGTAATACAGAGGGTTGGGGGATGGAGAAAGAGGGGGCAGGGTGAGGGGGACTCCTACTAAAGCAAGTGCTGAGGTTTATCTTTGAATTCTGTAATGAAATTCTATAATTACATAAAATTCTAGAATGTTCAATCTGGAAGGGACCTCAGAGGCCACCTTTTCTAATTCCTTTATAAATCAGGAGTGTGAGACTCGGAGAGAAGGCAATTGACTTCTCCAAGGTCTGTGCCTCCTCCAAGTTTAGTTCTGGAACTCAGGTTCAGTCATGTCTAAGCTAGTGAGAAAGAGAGTGAGACCGTGTGTGTGTGTGTGTGTGTGTGTGTGTGAGAGAGAGAGAGAGAGAGAGAGAGAGAGAGAGAGAGAAAGAGAAAGAGAGAGGGAGAGATTGACAGAAAGAGAGAGAGATACAGATATGGGGTCTTATCTTCAAAGAGAAGCAGATGGGACCTGCCTGGGCGAGAGGCACACAGCTGGACTAAGAAATAGAACCCAGTCACCTAGCTTCGGTGGCTCCCTGCCCAGTGACCCTCCGGACTCTCACTGAGCCGCGTGGCATGGGTCATCCTGGCTATGGCACCTGAAGACAATGCAAACCCTCTTCCCCCTACTCTGCTGAGATTATCCTTACCATCCTTCCAGAACCATTCCTGTTCATTCTCCTCAATTCTGCCTTCCTTGGACAGACACTGACCAACAACCATTTCCTCTGAGCTCTCTCTGGCCTGTACTGTGCCATCCTCTGACTTATAGGACCCATTACCATGCTCAGCACACCCTGGACTGCAATATCAGGGGTGCCTCTGTCTCTCACACGGGGCAGGGACCCCAACTCTGCTCCAGGCCAGCCTAGCACCTGACTCAGAGCAGGGTCCTGGCAAATTGGATGGATGAAGGAAAACCAAAAGGAATGGCCAATGGGTGAGCAAGCCTCTTGTCTCCCAACATGGTCATGCTCAGGGCCGGCCCCTATACTTCCTCTTAGCTGTAGAGCCTAATGGTTAAGTATATGGACTGCAGTCACATAAGCTGGGTTCACATCCCACCTCTGGACAAGTTACTTGCCTTCCTTGTGCCTCAGTTTCCCCACCTGTAAAGTGGAGTTAAAAAACAGTTCCTCCCTTAGGACTGCTGGGGAGCACTTGGACAGAGTGAGGCTCATCACACAGGTTAGTCTCCATCATCGGCCTGGTGCTGAGCGGAGCGGTCATTCTCCTGGTGGGTGCTCAGGCTCACTTGGTGACAAAGGAGAGACAGGACAGGTGACACAAGCCACTTCTACTTACAGGTCCCAGGAAGCCCATCCCATCACATACACTCCCAGTGCCCTGTTGGGGTTGATCCACTGAGGACGCCAAGGCTCAGAGATGGTGAGTGACTTGCCCACAGGCACAGAGCCAGTAAGAAGCCAAGGGGTAAAAAACCAGGTCTTCCAACGCGAAGCAGGGCTCAAACCGCAAGGACACAGAGAGACCAGACCATAAGTGCTTTTCTCCACTATCTTTCTTTGGAGAGCTCAAAGAGACTTTTTTCCAACAGGCAAATGTATTTTTCCCCCCAAAAAAGCATAAAATTCTTCAGATGTCCTAGTGACAGCCTAAAGCTTGGCTTCTTTTGTTCCTTAAATCAAGATCAGGGAGCAGAGCAAAATGCTCTTTTCCTCACTGCTCTCCCCCCCAAAATCATTTCAAAAACAGTTGCAGGAAGAACGAGCATGCACTGGGCGTTGAGAAGACCCCAGCAAAGACAGAAAGCACTGGAAAGGCTGAAATGAGAACTCCTGCCTGGTGCTAAAGGACAGGGCCTGAGGGTGACACCTTCGCAATGAGAAGCTTACAAGAATCAGAATACAAGCTGGGGCTCTCCAGTCAGAAAGAGGAAGAGATGCAGCCCTCCGCTCAGGGAGTCTTGTCAGAGGAAAAACAGCAATGCCATCAGGGAGCTGCAGCCTGAGGGGAGACACAGCCCCGTCCTCAGGTAGCCCCGGTCTGAGGGGAGAACAGCCCTGTCCTCAGCGAGCCCTAGTCTGAGGGGAGTCACAGCCCCGTCCTCGGGTAGCCGCGGTCTGAGGGGAGACGCAGCCCCCTCCTCGGGGAGCCCCGGTCTGAGGGGAGACACAGCCCCGCCCCCGGGGAGCCCCGGTCTGAAGGGAGACGCGGCCCCGCCCCCGCGGAGCCCCGGTCTGAGGGGAGACGCAGTCCTGCCTCAGGGAGCCCCACTTTGAGGGGAGACACAGCCTGACCCTTATGGAGCCCCAGCCTGTGGAAACACAATCCTACCCTCAGGGAGCCTCAGTCTGAGAGGGAGAAAACAGCCTTGCCTTTAGGAGGCCTACTCGGAGGGGAAATACAGCCCTCACTTCAGGGAGCAGAAGTCTGAGGGGAGACACAGCCCTGCCCTCAGGGAGTCCCAGTCTGAGAAGAGACACAGCCGTGCCTCAGGAAGTCCGAGCGGGTAGACACAGTCCCTCCTGTGCTAAATTACTCAGTGAACTGATCATCACACATTCAGGTTGTCTCTAAACGAAGCCCATACACGCTCCGTGGATTTACTAGCAAATGACTCTGGCTATAGAATAAAAGGAAACGCACCAAGAACACTCATCTCAGCTTTTCCTGGACTGGCGGTCCCTAATAGAGGTCCATGGACCCCCCTGAAACTATAAGCAAAATGTGGCATATTGGTCCATATGGATGCATTCTTTTTTTTGCAGAATTTTCATCATATTCCCAAAGAGCTTCCTGAGGTTCAAAGGCTAAGGAAATATGGGGTTCTTTTGTTTGTTTGTTTTGGGTCTTTTTTTTCTTCATTATTTATTTTTGGCTGCGTCGGGTCTTAGTTGCGGTTCACGGGCTTCTCTGTAGTTGTGGTGCACGGACTCAGAGTGTGAGGGCTCTTCGTTGTGATGCATGGGCTCTCTAGTTGTGGTGTGCGGGCTCAGTAGTTGTGGCGCAAAGGATTCGTTGCCCTGGGGCATGTGGGATCTTAGTTCTCCGACCAGGGATGGAACCCGCGTCCCCTGCATTACAAGGTGGATTCTTAACCGCTGGACCACCAGGGAAGTCCCCAAAAATATGGTTTAACTTCTTTCCAACAAGCCTCCCTAATCATCCCTCCAACCTCTGACAAAAAGTTGGTGGTGATGAGCACATAGCTTGGATCTTCAATGCTGGGTCCAAAACCCAGCTTTACCCCTTAGCTGTATGACCTCACTTAGCCTCTCTATGCAT